GGTGCATACACTGTTGTTATTCCCCGTTCTTTGTTCTAGTGCAGATGGACGCCACATACAAGTATTATCTAAGTCCTTTTAATTATGTAATACTTATAGTTAATCTTCGTCCCGGCAGCCTCCCCGGTAACACACACTGACAGAACAGATGGCTGTGTTAGTTGTATAGTGAAGTTCATAACACGCACACTGTGCATCTGTTTATATTACCCATTGTTATTTTGGCGGGAATTTACCGGAAGTACCAATATCAGCTTAGCTAGTACCTATACACACACAATTTTTGTTCAAATTTGAAGTAGCATAATATAGAATGTAATTATAGTGATTAGAATCATAGGACATATATCAGAATATAGCTACAGGAATTATTATAGCCGACTCGTCACTGCTAAATCACATCGTCATAGCCGAATCACTTGCTAAACATCCAGCCACGGAGCTCACAAAAACACGTCCGTTCGCTCCAAACTGCAACTCAACTCCCCAATGTCTCGAGGCTACGGGTACGGGAGTCCATTCGCTTTCATACTTAACGAGACAAAGATGGCGGCGGTGGTGCTAGATTTCAGGGTTAATGTTAGGGTTAGGGTTAGGGTTAGGGAGTAGGCGTAGGCGACTCCCTAGACTCGTTACTACGTTAGTGGAGTAGGCGAGGTATGGTCCGGCATATTAGATAGTAGTATCTAGTACCAGGGTACGTTCCGGCAGTACCCTGGGGGACATAGACCCTATCAGCAGTAATAGGAGTGTTCCTAGCTCTAGTACTGTAGCCCGCGTACAGTTGCCGCTGGCACCAGTGCCAGTGGCACAGGCGCCAGTGGCAACTGGTACTGGCAACTGGTACAGGTGCCAGTGGCAACTGTACTCGGGCTATAGTACTAGAGCTAGAGTGTTTCTAGATACCCAGATGAGACGGGATACTAGAGAAGCGTTGCCGAAAGGAGGTGTTTATCCGAAGTGCTGCGCGATCTTGCGTGCAGTTCCGCGGCAAGGCGCACGCGACCGCGGAAAATTCCTACGACAGTATGCAGCGGTGGCAGCTATGGATCCGTGCGCCGAATGCATAGGCCGCGCACGAATCCATAGCTGCCAGCGAACAGTCCGCAATTTTAGTGGGGGACACAGAGGGCAGACATTTGGAACGTGAACAGTGTTTACTTGTTATAAAAACTGTAACCGAGTAATGTGTTCGTAACCGAGCTGTGTCACGCGAAATCACAGAAAGACTGTAAAAATTCTGACATTCGCGAACCTTAGCCCAGTAAGTGGAAAATGGCTTCAGAATCTCAGGGCAAACACCTACGCCGCTTATCCGTGCACCTCATTGTTGCGCCCCCAACGCCTGGTCAACGTTCTAGTGCAACCGTTCCGAAATGGCGAGGCTCGTTACAGCCAGTTGCAAGCAGTTGCCGGCCTGCCGCGCCTAACTATGCCATAGACTGGCACCTCGCTCCACCTCTCGGCTTAAAGCTAGTCACTCGATGCTAATCGAGGTGGGGAGCGTACCGCTCCTAGTCTATATAGCTCTTTGCACCTCGCACCTTCTCGAAAGAGAGTGCAGCCTAGACTAGAAACATTAAGAATTTGGTAGTAAATAGATCTCTGCCGATATTTGTCACCCAGCCTGGTCCTGTCACATTTTATTGAAACGCTTCAAGTCGCCCTGTGTCTCAGCTGGCGTAGTAGGGGTAGTTCTAACCCTAGTCCAAAAGCAGCAGTTTCTGTGCGAGCTCGGCCGTCAAGGTAGTGGGAGGTGAAGTAGTCTGACAGTACTGGAGTGAAGTGAGTAGAGCTACGATACTAGGTAATTAGTTCTCAATGCTATTCACTATTAGCTATCCTTATATGGCGCGGTCCTAGGTCAGTAACTATTATACTATAGTTACTGAGTAGTCGCTGCAGTAACGTAGTAGTAGTATTAATACTAGTAGCTAGTACTTAATTACTAGGAAGTATTGTCAACAGTGTTACTTGTGTAATATGAGTATTTCGTAGGTGTGGGAAGCTCCAAAGTCTAAGTTATAGCCGCCGAGCAAACACCGTAACCCGGAACCAAAGTCCTAAGGCCAATGGATCTATCCTTACAAGCCTCGTTGCCCCTACTATATCGTATCCTCTAAGCGGCAGCAACAGCTCAACGCTACTCCATTACCGCTATTATATCTTGTTACAATCCCGTGAACAAAAACTCCGTTATCTACAGCAAAGAAATGCCGCGACTAGTACGCGAAACACACAAATTGGGAGCTTTCTAGCCCGTCTCTACCTAACTGGGTAGTGCGATCCCTCGTGCAATGCGCAGAACTGCCGATGAGAGCGAAAAGCCGGCTTCAAGCTAACCCTAGGAAAGGAACTGAGTACTGGCGTTGGGAAGAGGGCAGCGAAATTGCAAAAGTGGCCGCTACGCGGCGTTTGAGCGCTTCGCGCGGCTATCCGGCTGCAGATCGTCTAGTTACTACTAGTACTACTACTACCAGCTACTACTAGTACTACTAGTACTAGTACTACTACTACTACTACTACTACTACTACTAGTAGTACTGTAACTGAGTAGTAGTACTAGTAGTAGTACTACTGTAGTAGTATAGTAGTATATGTAACCCAACAAGAGTAGAGTTGTGGTTTACATCTTACATCCCCCCTACTCTTGTGTTGGGTTACATTATTGTATCTATATAGAGTGTTCCCAACTTTAAAGTTTAATGTCATTAATCATTTTTAAATTAAAGGTCATAATATTATTATTAATAACATATATATATATATATATATATGTCATGGTCATATATTTGTTTGTGGTTTAGTTTCATTTAGGTTAGGGTTAGGGTTAGGATTATCAATCATTAATCATTAATGATATCAAAGTTGGGAACACTCCTAATGCCAATGGAGCGTTAGCCATTGTGCCGCTCCGGTTCTCGTGTTTGTTGTATTAATTATTATAAATATAATATTCTACTAATACTATTACTAATAGTACAACTGTAGTCTGTACATTATCAACAAGAGCCTGAGGCCCGAGGGGGTGTGTCACCCTAGTAATGTTGGGTTACATTATCGCATCTAGTATTTGACTGTTTGTATGTGTAACCCAACATTAGGGTGAATTTCTCAGAAGAACTAAACTACAAGTACGATTACAAAGTACGATTACGAGTAAGATAAGAGGGCCAATGCCTATTTGACACAACCAGGTTTAAAACCCACTTTTTCCTCCGCTAGATGGCGCCACTACGTTATATACTGTGGAGTCTGTGTCTCGCGCAAGTGATCGCGAGTGATCCCGCGACTGTAAGCGCCCTATGGACGCAGCCGCCGTCACTATACGATGCACACGACTTTCGAAATCGCAGAGGGGGTGCGTGGGCTGCGGATCGCTCGAATGTGTGAGTGGATGGGCGGTGGCAGCTAGCTAGCGCGCATGCAGTGAGCACGTGTATACAGATGACCTTGGGGGGTCATACAGCAGATCTGTTACGTACACGTGTGGAACGAATGAGTCTTCAATGGCCGTGGCGGGCGCCAGGTACACAACCTATGGTACACATGCACGCACGCTGTCATAGAACTAGATGAACGCTAGACGGCAGCACGCAACAGTCGAAGTCAAATTTACAGAAATGGCG